CCCTCCCTCCCTCCCTCCCTCCCTCCCTCCCTCCCTCCCTCCCTCTCTCTCTCTCTCTCTCTCTCTCTCTCTCTCTCTGCCTCTACTACCCTCCTGACTCCCCTCCCCATACCCTGAATAAACTCTATTCTATGCTATACCAGTGTGTGACTGGTCCCTCAGGAGGAAGAGATGCCTCGGCATGGGCCCGCTGAGATATCCCCTTTCCCCATACCTCTCCACACATCCACAGGACATACTCTTTATCTCTTTATCGTTTTATAAACACAACATATGGAAGAGTAAGTATGGGGGGAAAAACAGCTAAAGGAGGTTTTTAAACAAGTGAACAAGATTTACCTTATCATATAGTACACTACATTACCAAAGTTGGAAAATACATCTTAACGTGAGGGGGAGGAGGGAGGGAAATTTATTTGATTAAAGACTAATTTAAAAGTTTTCACTGGACAGTGTGATGTACATTTTTAATCCCAGTACTTTCGAGGCAGAGGAGAGTGGATCTCTGAATTTGAGACCAGCCTGCTCTACAAAGCAAATTCCAGGACAGCCAGAGCTGCACAGAGAAACCCTGTCTGTTCCACACCAAACAAACAAAAAGTTATATACGACTCCTTAAGCATACAGACTCGAGGAATGTATCTGTAAAAATGAAAAGTGGTGTATTCATACAGATCTCAAAGAATGCCTATAAATCAGCAAAGCAAACATAAGGCTAGTTGTTGCAATGGAAAAAAAGCAAATGTTCACTATACTTACTGAAAGAGAATCAACTTTTAATAAACTAAAACTATGGAAAGATTATAAAGCTGCAATCAGGGCTGGAGAAATGGCTTAGCAGTAAACAGCATCTGATGCTTGCACTAAGGACCAGGGTTCGACTCCCAGCAATCACAAGGCATTGCACAACTGTGATTTCATTTCCAGGCAGTCCAATGCCCTCTTTTGGCCTCTGCAGGCACAATACACACACATGGCACACAGACATTACAGACAGGCTAAACACCCATACACACAAAAGAGGGATCAAGTTGATAAAACTTAAGTTTATTTTTATTAATTCAGTAAAACAGCACGTGGCAAGGGTGTGGATATTCTCAAACACTACTGGCTACAGGTTAAGTTTGTAGAGCAACCATGGATCGTGATTATCTGTATTTATTTAAAATATGCATAGCCTATTTTCCACCTTTCCTTATCCTAGTAAAATACTCATACATGTGATTTAGTTTCCCCATGGTGTATACAAGCGTGCATACGCGCGCGCGCGAACACACACACACACACACACACACTTTGTCAACTTCAATAAATTCAGAAATAAAAAAAAAAAAAACCTGAAAGCTAAATTCTTACAGCGCACAGGACAGACTAGGAGGATTTGATGATGAGAGGTAATGGACACCCTGATCACAGGGATGCTGGGGAGACAGAGAGGTGGAGGAGAGATGGCATCTGTGACAGAAAGCCAGGGCTTTCCAGCTAGGCAAAACAAGCACTTGGCCAGAAGCTTAGAGCTGGTCTCCAGGAAGGGTCAGACCCAGCGGAAGCATCCCGGGTCCTGGGTGGGGTGGGAGTCGAGGAAGCATGGGGGAGGGGAGAGCCGAGCTCATGCACGCGCACCACGCCCACCCGCCGCCCAGGCGGTCTACTCGCCAGCACACGCACTCCAGGCTGGCACGCGCACCACGCCCGCCTACCCGTTTGCGCACGTGAAACGTGCTCCGCACGCACATCATCACGCATGCCCACTCGTCTGCGTACGTACGGCTGCTTGCCTGCGCACGCACGCCCCGTCTGCTCGCGCTCCACGCACGCGCACCACGCACGCCTTCTTGCCTGCGCACGCGCACCACGCCCGTTCGCGCGCCCCGTCTCTGCAAAAGGTGTTTTATTTCTTGGCTGAGTTGCTTTCACCATGGCGGAGATGGCAGAGCTTTGCGAGCTGTACGAAGAAAGCAACGAGCTGCAGATGGATGTGCTGCCCGGCGAGGGCGATATGGAGGTAGGCCGCGGGGCCCGCGGGCCGGTCCCGGAGGAGGGCCCCATGGAGGAGGAGGCCGGGCCGTCCGCCGCCCGCGCCCAGCGCGGCCTGTTCCCCGAGGCTGGCGCGGACCTGGAAGGTGACGAGTTTGATGATTGGGAGGACGACTTCGAGTTCCCTGAAGAGGAGCGCTGGAACGGCGCGATGCACAGGGTGTCCGCCGCGCTGGAGGAAGCCAACAAGGTGTTCCTGAGAACGGGGCGAGCCGGTGATGGCCTGGATGGCGGGTTTCAGGCGCGGTGCGAGAAGAGCCCTTTCGACCAGCTCGCTTTTATCGAAGAGCTGTTTTCGCTGATGGTTGTCAATCGACTGACCGAAGAGCTCGGTTGTGATGAGATCATTGATCGAGAGTAAATGCTGACGAAAGAGGAGGAAACTACCTGAGAGGGAGAGATTCAACGTTCTGCTATTTTGGGGTTCATTCCAAATAGTTCTGTGCAAAAAATAAAAACAGTTGGTTTTTGTTTCTCGGAATAGAAGACAGGACAGTGAACGACCATGCATTGTGGAAAAGGAGAATCGAGGAAGGAGGAGTGTTAAACCTGAGAATCGCGAGGAGAAAAGACCCAATTGTTCCTGCTTGGTCTCACAGGGGCTCAGCAAAACCTCTGGTACAGACTGTTGATCGAGATGATTTTCCTTACATTGGAGAAGAGCTTTCTCGTGTTAAGCTTTTAAAGATGGGTTGGAAGAGTAAATCGTGACTGCCAATACAAGAACCTATTTAAAGAATGGGGGAAAATACATCCACAAGATATCTTTAATTAGAACTAAAAGCTATTGAAAAAAAACTTTACAAATTCTCTTTTGTGATTTGTACACATCTAGTTATCAAAAGCTAAATTTGAGGTTTAAGATTGAGTATTCATCAACCCCAAAGGGTAATGAAAGTAGATATGTGTATAAATGTAAACGTGTTACCATGTGTGCTATCATCTTAAAACGTGTTACGAAAGCTTCTGGAATTTTGCACATGTATCTTCATGATTTATAAAGCTTCTGTGATCTCTAATTTGGAAAAATCCATTGTGATGATTTTCAAAGTAAAGAAAAAAACAGGATGTCTTTTTAAGGTTTTAAGTTCATGCATTAAATAAAATGTATGGGAAAGCCCAAAGACAAACTTTCTAATACCCTTTTATACTAGGGAAATTTCATTCGCTGTTTTTTACCTTGGCAGATGATAAGACTGAAGTTCATACTGTAAGAACTGTTTGCAAAAATTGTCAAGTAAAAAGAAGCCCTGCCTGTATCCATAAAAGATTCATGAGCTATTGTGTTGTCAAACTTTGAAGGTTTTAAACCTACCCAGAAGCCCACCTGGGTGCCTGGTATTCATATTCTCTCTCTCTCTCTCTCTCTCTCTCCTTCTCTCCCTCTCTCCCTCTCTGCCTCTTTCTCCCCTTCCCCTCCCCATCCCTCTTTCTAATTATGCTTGTTAATCTTTATGCACCAGCATTGGCGATAATAAATTTTCTTGTTCTGTGTCTTGCTTTGTCTAGTAGCTTTGCATACATACTTTATACTCTCTTGCTGTGTGTGTCTCACTGCCTCCATCTTGACATTTAAGCACCCAGTGCTTACACCGTAAACCAGTTTCAAAAAAATGGGTTCTGGAAAGTTAAAACAAATTTCAAATTTTTCTGGAAGACTTGGCCAGCCTATAAAACCTGCTCTGAGAATGTGTTGCTGTGGTTTATTTGGTGAAGATGCTGAAGTTTCTTGAGAAGAAAAATGATGTATTAGCACTGTCCCTGCTGATGCCACCGTGACAACCAATACAGGACAGAGCTAAGACAGTAGGATAACTCCTGGGTTTTGTGGGATTGGTTGGCTGGTTTTACATTCGTCTTGTTTGGGAGGCTGCTGAGGTGGTTCAGTGGGTAAAAGGACCTGCCATATAACCAAGCCTGATGACCTGGTTTGATCTCTGGGGTCCATGTGGAGGGAGAGAGCGAACTCCCCCGAGATTGGGCCTGTTAGTAATTTTAGACCCTCACCTGAAATTTTAGTCGCTTCTGTACCTCCAAAGTATCTGTACATAATTTTGCCCCAGTTACATGTTTCAGTAGGTACTAAAACATGAAAGGTGGGAAGTCAACTGAAGGTGGGAACTCTGATGATTGGGAAGCTGTCACTCATGTTAGGGTGGGACTTTTTGATAGAGCAGCTGCAAATATTCCCACGAGTAACCCCTCAGCCCTCCTTTTTACTTACCCAATAAATTGATTGTCTCATTAGTTGGACTTGAGGGAATCATTTATGTGATCTTTATTGGTATTTACCTGCTGTAAATAAACCTTTGCTCACATCTTTCCGGGAAAATAATACAAATATCCATAAATTTGAATGTATTTGTGTTTGGGGACCAAAGTATATCTTGGAAGTTAAGAGGAGAAGCCATGCATTGGTATTTCTTTGTCTCTTTTATTCTGCATTTATTTATTTTCATAAATATTCATATTTATGTATATATGGGGAGGGTGCATGCCACAGTAAGCAAAGGTCAAAGGATAACCTTCAGGAGTTGGTTCTCTCCTGTGGGGCCTAGGGATCAAACAGGTCATCAGGCTTGGTGGTAAGCTCTTTTACTCACTGGACCCTCTCATATTTAACTTTTGTTGAGTTAGGGTCTCACTACGTAGCTCCAGCTGTCCAGGAACTAGACCAGGCTGAGCTCATAGTAACAGAGGTCTGCCTCCTGCATGCTGCTGGAATTAAAGTCATGTGCCACCATGCCCAGCATCTTTTATAAAGGCATTTTTATTTTAAGGTTTTGTGTGTGTGTGTGTGTGTGTGTGTGTGTGCACTCGTGCACTTCGCATGTCCATGCCATGGCTCACATGGAGTTCAGAAGACTTCCCTGTGAGTCTCTAAAAAGCCCAGCTAGGGCTAGTTGTGCAGGAAGCCTCAGAGATGCAGCTTTTGTGAGTCTTCATCCTTGCTGGATGCATACTGCCCCGCCTCCCAATGCAGCTGCCTTTCAGGTCATCCATGCACCTATAAGTTAACCCTCATCCATTCTCCTGTAAGTAGTCTCAGCAAATTCACTGCTCACTAAGCTAGAATTGGGTGGAACTGTCTGTCATCCCTGTGCCTTAATGTGGGGTGAACAGATGTTTGTTGACATCTCCCAAGCAAAAGTCACACAGCACACCTCAGACTGCTGTGGTTAAAGGATAGTGGAGAATAGAAACAGGCTAGATGATGCCTCACCACGGCATGCACCACAGCCCCACTGCTTTTTACACTGCCCAGTTCACTTTAGTCTTCCCCATGGAAAGGGCCATTTAGGAAACAATTATTAGCTGAACATGGTGGCGCACACCTTTGATCCCAGCGCTTAGGAGGCAGGATCTCTATGAGTTCAAGGCTAGTCTGATCAACATTGCAAGTTTCAGGACAGTTAGGACTACATAGAGAGACCCTGTCTCAAAAGCATTAAGAAAAATGATTATTAGATTCTACACCCTTACCTCCAGCTTTGCCTCTTAAAAACAATGAGCATTTTGAGTAGTTCAGTAAGATGTCATCCCTAAACACGGCGAGTCCCCATGGTGCCATATCAAGTAAAACCAGCACCACAGCTTACAGGTACAGATACCTTGAGGTCAGGATGGATGGATGGATGGATGGATGGATGAATTTACTTGTGTTGCATCTTCTACATTTGCTCCTCAAGGCTATGCAACTATCATCCCCACTATAGGTATCACCTACACTTGAATAAATAATCAACACCCAACTAGAAAGGCCTCTTGAGTTGTTTCATATTTACTAGTGTCCTCTGAGGTTTTTATACTGCTGAATGAGCAGTGCATTTTATCCTGGTTTTGAAGTTAGGAAAAAAAAAAAAGCAATGAGATTGTTGACAGTTTTACTTATTACAATTATGTCCTCCTAAGTGCTGGGTATGGGTCTGGGGAGGCCTTGGAGGAAGAATGAGTGAACAATATTGGGTACTATTAGAAATATTGCCAGCATTGTGCTAAGTGATTTGTGTTCATTATCTCACTTAGCCCTCTAAATAACTTTATAACACAGCATTCAAATCCAAAAGGCCTTGCAGATAGGTACTGTGGAGCACAGGTCACCAATGAGGAGACCTGAAGCTCAATGATGAAGGGTAACTGTCACCACATGGCAAGCCCCTATGAGGTCTCAAACATCTTAAGTGCTTTGCCATTGCCAGTGAGATTGAACCATCCACGAATCCTTGATAAACAGCACTCCCTATAATAAAAGTTATCCTCAACAGCGTTAGTTACTACATATTACACACAGAGTAACATAGGCATGAGGACCTTGCACTGTATTCCCCATCCATGTTTAGCCCAGTGTCTATGAATCTTTTACATCTTGTTGCAGTGGTGTGATTCTGTACTGAACAATGTTTGCAGGCAAAGCCAAGCAGACCGTGGCATCATAAACCGTGAAAGGAGGAAAATGATGTCATTTTCTGCACAAATTTCAGTTAGCTGCTTTTCTTTGGGACTATTCTCGAGCCAAACTGTTTCCATCTTCAAGAGTTCAGCTGTAACCACTTGCAGAAGATCAGTCAACAAGTCTATTGATTTTACCTCATAAGAAGGAGGGCAAGGAGGGTCACAGGACCCTCAGGAGAGTATTCAGACACTCTTCCCAACCAGTTGAATACAATTCTGCCCTTATTGCGTGTGACCTCAGAGAATGGCTACAACTCTCTAAGGTGGGAAGGACTGGGGAGGGGGCTCCATCTTCACAGCCACACAAGAGTCATCATCCATGCTGGGTGCCAACTTTTCAGTGTGACTGTTTTGAGGCCATCTATGCTCCTACCTGTCACCTTTTGACCTATGTTTGGTAAGTGAGCCTAATAAGCTTGTTAGTTCCCCAGGAAACTTTGGTGAAACTTCCCTTCAGTTTGTCAGTGGGACCTTATGAGAAGGGAGGGAAATGCTGCCCAGTACCCTACTCCCAGAGAACATTCTCATAACATGATAACTCAATACATTAACCCAACACCACCTTTGCTGTTTGTCCTTAATCTGAATACCCCAGTCCAATGAGCACATCGGGCATATTAATTGGCAAACAATATTAACTATGTCCTTTTATCCTTGGATCTTTATACAGAGCTAATTAGGAACAGTAAGTGGTTTTGTAGGCAGTTTAGCTCCCCAGGAATAGTTAGTAACACTGTTAGGAATTCTAATTACTGATGTGCATCAGTCTTGGGAAATTTCCCCTTTTGGCCTATTAAATTGTAAGCACACTCTCTCTCCTGTTATTCTCTTTATTATCCACAGACTTCCAAGAAAAACATTGGTATGCTACACTGTAATCGTTGGCTATCTTACCTGTTGGTTGTCAAGGTTCATCAGTGTAAGGCTGCTTGTTGAAACAGTCAGTTTTATATTCATTCCTGAAAACTGCAGATTGCTTTTGCCAAGAACCGTTGTCAGGAACTTAACAGGAGCCTTTAAAAACAACAAAACACCACTCTAAGTTACCGGTGTGTAACACCTCCTCTCTGTTATTTTATATGAACCAAAGAAGCTGGAATGGTTGAATGGTAGGACGTGACCAAAGCTTGGTTCTTCATGTGGCACGTGGAAATGGAAGCACACGTGTCAGAAGCCAGCACACCAACACATGCTGCCTGAAAGGAACATCTTGGCCCAGATTCAAGATGATGCTATTCTATGAACACTGTAGTAGTTCACCAAACTTAGAGTTTTCTGCTCTTATGAAAAACGGTGGTTTGACTACAGAAAAGAAAAAGACTCGATATTTTCCAACTGGCATTCCTTACTTAGCATATAGATATCAAATTAGTGTGTCTTTGCCGTATTATATTAGAATGTTGGATATTAAAGAAAATTACTATTTGAGTCATTCACTTGAGTTTTATATCATTGCATGAATTTTGGCTTGAGATTAGGTCAAAATTTCCAACAATTTCTGAAATGGCCCTAGACATATTTCTGCTGCTTGGTACTATGTATTTATATGAAGTTCTCAGCATGGACATCACAAAATCAAATGCTGATCAAATCTGAAGCATGTATAATATGATCTAAATCCTGCATTATCAAATATCTAGCCCAAATTTAATTCTTTAATATAAAAACAAAAAGCACATTTTTCTCATTCATATGCAAATTCACTTTTTACCATTTAGAAATGTTTTCGTAACTTACATGTGTACCAGACAATTTTTATTTAGTATTATCCTTGCATATGTGTTTATATGTGGGCATGTGCATGTCACATACATATGTGGAGGTAAAAGAATGACTTGATTCTATCCCTCCATCATATGACCCAGGGATAGAATCTAAGTAATCAGGTTTTATTGTTGCTGTTTGGTTTTTTTTAATGTGACAAGTGCTTTTACATTCTAAGTGATCTCTCCACCCCAGAGAATTGCTTTAAAATAAATCTATTTATGAATTTGCTATCAATAAATATTTGGTTTGTATACTTATGACTCTATAGCTGGGGTCATGTAAATTCTCAGGCTGGGAAGTTAATTCAGCCTGGGAAAGTACAAACTCAAGTTCCACCCTCCAAACACACACACACACACACACACACACACACACACACACAGAGAGAGAGAGAGAGAGAGAGAGAGAGAGAGAGAGAGAGAGAGAGATTGTGTGTGCTTGTAATTTTCACACTGGGGAAGCAGAGGCAGATAGATTTTCTTGGATTTACTGGCCAGCTAGCCTAACCTACTTGGCAAGTACAAGGCAGTGAAAGGCCCCATCTCCAAAATAAATAATAAAGAAAGAAAGGTAGAGGGAGACCAAGCCCCCACATGAGCATACATACACACCCATACGTACGCTCAAATATGCACACACATACATAAAAAAGCAAAAGGGGGTCACAAATGAAAACAATTAAAGAAACCCAAGAATAAAATGATCACTCCGATACCATTTTTGCCATCGTTAAAAGGACAGAAAGCAAGAAGCTCATGTAAATATTCACCTTTCGTTTTTTAATGGCTCCATGGGCCCCGGGGACAGCTTCACACAGGCGGCTTATTGCTTCCCTAAAGACAGAAACCATAGAGAGTCTTAACATTCTACCTGTAGTCTGTAAGTGATCAAGAACAGTATTCAGAGTGTACAGATGGGATAACGATGTGGCTGACATTAATGGCTTTCTCTTAGACCCACACTACAAGGTGTCATGCCTGGTTTTTCTGTAGTTCAAACCCAGAAAAAATTAGCAACACTCTAATGCTGAAGAATTGTCTTACAGGGAGTTCTGTAACTTGCTTTATTGACCTTTTTTTTTTCCTTTTGGACTTTCAGATTTATTTCATTGTGTTGTCAATTTTTAACAAGCAGGGGAAAGCTAACCATTCTTTTCTTGAAATACATCACAATTCTACCCTGAGCAAAAATCCTCACCATAGCGTTGTGAATAGAGGTCGTACTATGTCACCACTAACGGCAATTAAATATGAATGAGTCTGACAGTAGAGGAAGCTTATAAGGGATGGGAAAAGCACTGAACTTCAAGGTGGTCCCAAATGGAGCTCTATTGACTCAGCTACTCCTGCAAGCCATTGAACTTTCATGCAATTTCACAGAGCAGAAGAAAATCAATATCAAGTTCTCTCCCGTGCTTATTTTCTGACCTTACTGTATACTATACTTCCTGGGGAACAGACACCACTATTAATAAATAAGGGTTGCTGGGTAATAGAGGTTCTGAAGGAGTAGGCACTCTCCTCCCCGGAAAGGCAATTATGATGAGAAGCTTCTGGTCCAGGATTGAGCATTCTTACCTGACCAGACTTTCACTATATGATGCTTGCCTGTTCACAACCAAAGGGAAAAGATCACTGTTAAAAGGAACAAACCACATCTACACATTCATACGATGGTGTATTATAGCTTTTTAATATATTCTCTGCTAAGTCACAGAATGGGAGGGGCCATCAGAGCAACACTGCAGACATGCTTCTAAAAAGCCACAGTTGGGACAGGTTGGAGTTCAGTGTCCTAGAGACTGCTCTGCAGAAGTAGGCAGAACTTCCCAGGATTCTGGGTATCATTTCTTATAACATGTTCTAGCTCAAAATCTCTATTTTTTTCCCAAGGTGTTATCTTCCCCTTCCGATAACTGCTTACGTTTCTAACTTGCCCAAGGAAGGCACTGTTCTCTGGTTTAGTATATTCTCTTGGGAGGACATGTTTTTTTTTTTCCCCAACATTCCAACCTTTGTTCTCTGATTTAACAGAAGGATAGTGCAGAAGGATGGACTTTTTCGTTTGGTTGGTTGTTTGATAGTCATTTAAATGATCACTTGAGTTGATGAGATTCTTTTCATTGATCCAAATTGACCTCTAGTACTGCAAAAATAACTCATGTAGGCTCCTCACTGTGTTGATAGGATTCAATAGAGTATTATAAGAAATGGAGGACCGGCTGCTCCCCGGGAACCAATGAGAGTGCTGGGTAAGTGGTTTGAAACAACAATAGAAGCAGTGATGGATGTTGATGCTGCTACATACAGTAATTGCTAATTAATGTTAGAAGTTGCTGCCTTTATATAATACCTTGTAGTTTCACAAAGTGCTTTCCCAAACACTCTGATTCTCATGCATATTCTAGTATAGTCTAGTGAGATTAGCATTGTGAACCTGACTTGAAGGGAATGGTCCCTCTCACAAGGCAAACCATACTGGCAGAGTGGGCACTGGAATGACAGATACAGAAGCAGGAGCAAAGACAAGAAGAAGACATCTAGTGCTGGATGCAGGGAGCTCGCACATGTGACAGTGCTGGAGGCCGGTGTGGGAAACAGCAGTGAACACTGAGAGACAGATTAGTAGTTCACGGGCTGGAGCGATGGCTCGGCCGTTAAAGGCTAGGCTCACAACCAAAAATATAAGATTATCAGTTCAGAACGATTTGTTAAAGGCAAGATAGCAAATGTGTTACTGTTTAGCTCCAACAAAAAGCAGCCTGAGACAATATATAAACAACTGAACTCGCCTGTGTGCCAATAACATTTTATTTTTAGGAATAAGGGCTGTACAGAGCTGGTAGATGGGCCAGCCAGAGCCGGCTCATGGGCCATAGTAGCCATCCCCTGAAATAAGTCATTTACACAGCACCAGAAAAGTTTAGTCTTAAAAAAAACAAAGCAGTGTATGGTAGCTTCATATTCTAAGCACTCAGGGGACTATGACAGGAGGATCTTGAATTCTAGGCCAGCCTGAGCTACATAGCAAAACACTGTGTCAAATAACCAAAAGGGGTGTGTGTGTGTGTGTGTTCATATTCATTCTGATTTTAAAATTGAAAATGAAAAACTACAAGATATCTCATGCACATTTAAATTAGAAAACAAGAAAATACATAATCAGTTTTTATGAAAATGAGAAATTTGAGTAACATATTTATCCATTGTTAAGGACATACCCATTCTAAGGAGTAATTTGATAAAATGTGACAAATATTGGGCCTTTTCAGTGACTCAGGAAAGACATTTACTACCTAGTGCTATGCCCTGAGTTCAACCCCTGGGATCCAAAGGTTGGAAGTAAAGAACTGACTCGTGCAAGTTATTCTCTGATGCCCAGGAGAATACTATGGCATACGTGTCCTTACACACAAATGCATAATAAATAATAATAAATGTAAAACATTTTAAAATAACAAACATAAAGTCTACCAAGAATTTGATGGGAGAGGACATGATTGAAATAGTTGACTACTCTGTGAACATAACAAACATTTCCATTTTAGTGTGAAAACTCTGACTCACAGTTAAGTGACAGATAAAATGTAAAGGCTAGATACAGTGATTTCAGATGTTACATGTGGGAACTACAGAAATACAGAGGAGCTCTATAGAAAGTAGTAGAAAAAGGTAGATGTTCAAATCTGACATGCTGGTGACATTCCGACATTCGAATATGACATGCTGATGACATTCAGACATTCAAATGTGACATGCAGGTTACATCCATCCTACCCAAACTGCTCTACAGAAAGCACTTGTGAGTTATGTGGCTGTGCTTTCAGCCTGTGAGCCCGGCACTTGGTCACTGAGACAGAAGGGTGGAAGGTCACAGTCAGCCTGGGCTACATAGCCACATCATCTCCAAAAATCCAAAATAAGCTTATAAACACTAACTCAGGTTGTTTGCTGGTGTTTGTGGCTTGTTATTTATTATTTCTCTTTCTATTAAATGTTTATTATTTATTTTCTATGGGCATGTGTGTGCCTGAATATGTATGTATACCATATATGTGCACAAGTTCACAGTGGTCAGAAGGATGCATCAGATCCTCTGGAAGTGGAGTTACAGGCAGTTATGAGGTGCCATGTGGGTGCTAGATCTGAACCCAGATCTTCTAAAAAAGCAGTAAGAGCTCTTAACCAGTTAAGCCATCTCTCTAGGCTTGGCTCATTATTTCTTACTTCTGATTCTATTGTATCTAAATATAAACAACGTAAATAATGTTTTACTTCCATATGAAGTTGGTTGGATAAACAATCTTTTTAAAACGTTTTTGCTGGTTGTTACATGTTTTGTCATTTGTTGAGACAAGGTCTCACTATGTAGCTCGGGCTGGCTCTGAGTTCCTGGCTCTCCACCATGCTGGGGTTAATGAACTGACTTCCTTAGCCAGGGTGGCTTTGCTGGTCCCTCTCTGATCTGGTCTGTGTACATCAGCAACTTCGGTCCCAAGACCATTTCAAGGCAAGTATTTGGCTCCGTCTTGTAAAGAGGAATCTGAACTTGAACAAATTTATATTTTACCATCTTCTAATAAGGCAGCAAATTATACCAGAGACAGGGAACAAATCTGAGCCCACACTTAGCAGGGAGGAAACAGGAGAAGGGAGCCTCCAGCTCTGGGGCTGGGGCAGCATGTGTTGGTTGTTCCTTCTTGCAAATTCCCCCAACAGAGAGATGGGACCACACTGGGACAACCTTTACAGCAGAAAGGCTGTGAGAAACTGTTAAGAGAAAATGGCTGCAGAGGTCCTCTCAGTACAGACTGTCAAGGTTGACTGTCGGTCTCCCAGCCCTGGCAGGTGTATTTGTACAAGGTGCAAATCATGTGACATCGTCCAGGTGAGGTTCCTGAGACTTCTTAGAGAGCAAAGGTCTCTGGCTATCACTTTTCTCAAAAGAGTAGGGAGCCTGTGTCTGTGCCTGTAAGCTTGTTTTCAGAAATACTTCGTTGTGGATGTGTGTGATGATGGCACCTACATACAATTTCAGGACTCATGAAGCAGAAGCAGGGGAATTCCTGAAAGTTCAAAGCCAGCCTGGGCTCTCCCTCTCCCCCCCCACACACACACACAGACACAAACACACAGAGATACATATACACACACCTACACACACACACACAACTTGGATTTGAGACTCTAAAATGAGCCATGGGCTGTCTCTCCCTAAGCAGACCTGTTGTGCAAACTATTCAATTTTAAAAGATCTGTTTCCCACCTTGGCCTCCCAGAAACCATTTTAGAAACTGCTTCCAGATCATCTCTCCCATATCTGTTTTATTTGCCGATATCTATGTTGACTTATCCAGAGTCTCAGTCACGGGATATGAAGGCGGCTGCGTTGGCTGCATGTTGTTGCCTTTTCCACAAAGATCTTTTCTGTCCCTGAGACGGGACCAAGAAATTAACTGAAACACTGTCAAGGACAAGCATGACTCTTGTTACTTTGGGAGCCTCAGCCGCATCCCAAGCCCAAGGCACCAACTGTAGACAGGCAGAGGGGTCAGGAAGGGATATCTCCCAGGGCCCAGAGTGCCAGGCTTCATCAGCCTGCATACCCAGCCAGCTTTTCTGCATAGGCCTTTTGGAGTTTGTGGACACACACACACACACACACAGAGAGAGAGAGGGGGGGGGGGGGGGGAGGGGGAAAGCCAAGGAGGGAGAGAGAGAGAAAGAGAGAGAATATGAAACTCTGAGTGAGAGAGAG